CCCCGGTGCCCTCTGCCCCGCTGCTCCGTCGCCGCGGCGCTGGTGTCACGTCAGAGCAGCCCGCTCTCCTTTAGAAACCCACCTAGTCGGTCCCTGAGCGTCGTCACTGGAGCTGGCTCTCGGCCAGTCAAAGCCAGCTTTGACTTTCCTTTCTAAAAGGGTCTGTGTTGTTCCTGGCCCCTTCCGGTGTAGGAGCAGTGGGTGGGCTCAAATTATTAGAGGCAAGAATACGTTGCTCTGTTGTCTGTCTCTCAGTGTTAAAAACCTCCAGGTACCTGCATGTTTTTGTTTACTAAAATTGTTTCCAAAATACGCGGGCTTTCTTCAAAACCACTAGGAAAAGCAGAATCCATCCTGCTTCCTGATAGTGTTGCCCAGTGCTCAGTGACCCTCATTGTTAGTAAAATAACTCCTGAATCTTCAAAATTGTCTGTTTCCATATCCTTTCTCCCCTTTTCTGCTTAGGAACACTTTAGCATGCATTTTTTCCTTTCCTGTTAAAGTGCTTGAACATCTTATGACTTTGTGTCTTCGGTTTAGGTCTTGGCAGCACTACACGCAGAAGTAAAATCTTCTGTGTGTTTCTATATTCTACATGTTTAAAGACCTGTCTTGCCATTGTGGTGTTCTGGAAATGCTTATGTAGTTGCTTGCTGCTGCAATTCCCACTGAGACGCAGGCCCTTATCCGGTATATGTGATTTGCAGGCTTTTTTTGTCCCTGTACATGAAATTTGCTCATTTAGCTGAATTGGGACACACTGACCATTGCAGCCCTTTGATCACTCTAGTGACTGCCCTGGGTTCAGCATCGTACAGCACTCTAGTTCTGTGCAACCTACATATATTTTTTTTTTAAGGAATCTTGTACTTATTTTAAGATTGTCAAAGAAAACAGAATAATTCTTTTCTTTTAGTATTATTTCCTGCTTCTAAACTACATCATTAGAAGTATCTCAAGTTTGTTTTGATTCTTCGTTTAAGATCATTCGACTAGCTAACTCATCAGTTAGCCAGTTCTGGTTTTATTAATGATAATGCAGTGCCAAACCAGCCCTTCTTTCAGAAATACTAGCGTATCACATCAAACGGCAGTAAGCTTTTGTATCTTATTTTTTTCCCAGTTTAATTGATTTTGAGAAAACAGTCTGGTTTTAAAGGGCCTCTTATTTCCATAACTTCCTTGAATAGCGTTAGTTATATTTCTGTCTTCTGTGTAATTGTTTCATTTTCAACTGGTTATTCCGATTATTTTGTGAAACCCTCTGTGAACCTAATGCAGCATCCCTTATAGCATTTTTACTTTTGAAAGGTTAGCTCTTTGTTACCAATTGCGTCTGTGACTCAGTAATAATTGACCAGCGTGCAATACCTATTGCTGATTGCTCAAAAATGATGAGGTATTTTCATTTCTCAGGGATTTCTTACATGTTTGTATTGAGTAACAGGATAATCTGATATAACCCTTCTCCATTTACAGTGATATGGAAAAAAAAAGGTCCTTTTTGACGTGTAGAGATAGGTTAATATTTAATGATGATAAGCTGCACGTTTCTTACAAAATAGTAGTTCACAAGAGCAAGCCCTTACGGCTGAAGACAGTCCTGCTGACTTAATAGGAAGTTTTTACCTAGATGACAATTACTGAGCTTGTTACCAGGCTGTTTTCGTCACTGTATTCATTACAGTAGTATCATGCTTTTCATTCTTTCTATTATCAATCATAAAATTGTGGATAGGAGGTAGCATCTGGTTTTGTTAAAATAAAGCCTGTTAGTAGCTGTCCCTCTACTCTAAAACCTCGTGGGGACCCTTGCACTGATGAAACCTCTTTGAGGCCTTCCTATAGTGTGGATTAAAGTAAATAATTCGAGCATTACCAGGTGATGTTTAAGCAAACTGCTGGATATTAAGTCTATATTAAATCACTTGCCATTGCATTCACAGAAATCAGTTTTCTTGTACTCACATCGAGTTTTATTTGAGAGTACAAAAAGTGTAACCTGAGGGAATCAACAAGGAGAGAAAAAAAGCATCACTTCATCCTTCAGATACAATTGGGTCCTTCTTTAGTAGAGATGCTGTGAGGGTTTGGTTTTGGCTTTTTCTTCTGCTTAAAAAAAGTTTAGTTCATTTCCCGTAACTGTATGCAATGACATCATGAGATTCCTAAAATTGAAACAAAATGGAACAGTCATCTGTACAGTAAAAAAGCCCCACAAAAATGCAGATTCTTACGAGAACATAGCTGTAAACAATTATCACAGTAATTCTGGAAAAATCCTTCTGCTGAATTTAACAGACTTGGGCCTGGCTTTTACCATTACTTTTGAGGTGGAGGCAGAGGGGAACAACCCAGACAACTAAATTCACACAATCAAGTCTTATCTAGCAAATTATGTGGACTGAAACTCCAAGACTCGGGCGGCTACCTGAATAAGTACAATCATTTAACCAGACCTGAAAAGCTGGAGAATCCGTGTAGTTTCACAGTAGATACCAAACCTGGGAAATTTCTCTAACAACAATAACAAACAAAGATCTCCTGGTTGTGAGAGCTACGGTATGATCCTAGTGTCGAGTTGCCCTTCTGTATTGGCATTGGAGCTTCTAGTCTGTCCATTATCTATACAAACGTGTGAGCACCTACCCAGAGAGATGCCTGTTTAGATGGTAAGAGACAACTCCTGTGTGCAAAGCTCATGCAGGGGAAAAAGAGGTGAGTAGGCACTACACAGAGCCTGAACTGAAAGGTGCCATTCAGGATGTACCTATAAGACGTAGGCCTGATACTGCAGCAAAAAGTTCAGCTTTTAAACAGGCTAAACTCAGAGTAGTTATGCTGACCTATATTATTCATTAATAATATAGAATTATGTTTATTCTTATAATTACAGGACATAATTACTCTATAATAATACAGAATTATATGAATTCTCCTACAAGGAAGTGTTGGTTACAACATTCTTGGACTGGTAAACCAGTAATTCTTAAACTGGAACTTAGTAATTCTGGGGTACCTAATTGCTTTTGCACCCAGGAAACCTGATTTTTTTTTCTTATTTAGCTTATTCAGCGCTATATAGTTTGCTCATTAGCACCAAAGGCTCCCTAGCTTTTTGAGTATTAATTTAAACTGTGGTGTTTGTCCTGCAGCAGCAGGTGCACAGGTCAATGATTACAGCATCCAGACCCTGGTCTCAATTTGGCGTGGAGAATGCTTACACCTTTGTATGCAAACTCATCCATGTGCCTGCTACTGCGCATGTTCTGCAGCTTTTTCTGGAGCTGCAGAAAATTCATATTTTTTTTGTCTAGGGTGAAAGGCCTTCCCTTGCTGTAAGCGTACCTAGGTCATCCAAGAAATAGTGAAGTCTGTCACTTTTAGGAGGTAATTTGGTTGACTGGTAATCAAAGCTTGTGTCCATTTGGAAATTAAAATCTTTGTACTGCAGCGTAAAGTGTGTGTAATCATGCAGTGAGTAACCTGCGGAGGCTGCCGCCTCTCCACATAACCCTGTTGCCTAGTAGCTGGAGTGTGCCATCTGTCCCTTTGGCTCATCAGTCTTCAATAAATCAAATACTAAACTTCACAAATCCCGTGTTATGGAGATTGAGCTGTTGGGGCATACAGGACTTTACTAATTCCTACGTTTGGAAACAAAGTGAGTTGATCACAATAAAGAGTCCACACAAGCAATATACCAAGAAAAGCAGCGAGACTTAGAAACTCCTCTCTGCTCACAAGCAGTCTGATGCGGCCTCTCCGTCACCACTCTGCACAGTCGTTTTATTTAGGATTCAGCTGTAGTTGCTAAGCTTTCATCCTGAGGGTTGTGCTTAGTTTTACAAGTGTTACCTGCAAATATATTGCAGATTGTCATCTTTATCTTCTGACCAATCTGTTTAGTTTTTCTGCTGCCTCTGGCATTAGCCAGTCTTCGGACAAGGTTATGATTTTATTTTTTTTAAGCTCTACTTACAGCACTGTGGAAGTAACAAATATGTCTTAACATCAGCTTAACTTACTTTCTCGTATGTTTAGAGTAGTTTTTGTGTTGTGATGACAAAAATTCTCTGAACCATAAAGGTGCTTTTTTTGTTTGTTTTTGTTTTGTTTTTAAAACCAGAAAATATTAAAATAAATAGACATCTTGGAAATCTTTTTACTTCCCAAAATGAGATATATACAATGCTGTCAAGGCAGCATGTTCGCTTAAGGAGATAAATCTAAAATAAGTAGTAATACTTGAGATTGTACTGACTTAAAATTAGAAAGATGTAGCAGGACTTCCAGTGTTCTTGCAGTGGTGTGTGATGTTGAGATACTGAGATAACCCAGTACAGAGAGTGGGAAAGAAAGTCAGTTCTGTTAAGAAGCTTAAGGGTATTACAAACAAAAAACCAAAACCTTTTCTAGAATATCTGAATCTTGTATCTACAGAATCCTAAAACTTCTGCGATAGTGAAGCAGCTGCTTGCTGAAGAGAATGCCGGAGAACTGCAGAAATACTTTGGCTCACGGATGGAGTTTGGCACAGCAGGGCTCAGAGCTGCCATGGGACCAGGGATTTCCCACATGAACGACCTGACTATTATCCAGACAACTCAGGTACTGCGATCAGCACTGTAGCTCACTTAACTGGTTGTGCATATGAACGGAAGAGCCTCATTTATGACAAGCAAATGGGTGTTCTATGGAAGCACAAATTTTTGATTATTCCTCCATTTTTCTAAAGTAATTTAAATGATAATTATTAGCTGAGTGCTGGTCTCTGAAAGTGAGCAGAGAGAAGCTATTAAGCCATTAAGATAAGTTATTTTCCGTATTTTGTTTGCAACTGAGTTTATACACAGTTACAGTTATGCTCAAGTGGGTCAGTTAGTCCTGATGTAACAACTGAAAAATACCCCAAAGGTAGCCAGCACTTGGCTAAGCTTTGTGTGTGTTGGATGTAAATTTGCATAAGTGCAGTGGATGCTTGGTTTCTTTAATACTTTTTTTCTTTTTGGGGTGTTGAGTCCAAAGTAGCCTTTTTAAATAGCAGGTTGCTGCATATACACATATAGGTCCTGAAGTAGATCTACTTGGGGAGAGCTTAAAAGAACCCCAAAAACTTAAATTACTGCAACCTGCAGTGGTGGTGTACCATGTCCTAAACAGGTGTCGTTTTTAAGGATGAGATTCAGTTAAAAAACTGAGAGATCTTAGTTAAAAAACTGAAATATTGGTCAGTTGTTCTCTTCCTCATCTGAGACCTAACACAGCTAAATCATTTCTCAAAATCTGCAATTCAGACTAGTCGTGTTAACAGTTTCTTTCTGAGTTTTGGAAAAGTACTTAAATGCTGTCCAGCTTCACTCTATTCATTTGAAGGTTTGTGGTATTTCTTGGTATTTATTTGTCCTAGGCAAACTGAATCCAAATCTAGTTCAGTGAGATGTTATGTGCGTCCACCTTTCTAAGACGTCAGTGTCTTAGCAAGCAACTTAATGCAATGATAAATTAAATATTGAGTTAATGAGGTGGATTTGTTGTTGTCTTCAGGGATTTTGCAGATACCTTGAGAAGAATTTCAGTGACCTGAAAAAGAGAGGCGTTGTCATTGGTTTTGATGCTCGTGCCCATCTTTCCAGTGGAGGTAGTAGCAAAAGGTACTTTTTAGGTTTTTAGGTATTTTGTAGACATGTTATGTGATCCATTGTGGTTTTATATTTACTTCAGCAGTATTTTCTCTTTCTGTAGAGTGAATTAAAGTGAGAGATTTATAGTATTTTTATGTTCTGTTAATGCCAAAGCAGTTCTTAGAGTTATGCTTTGTCTGTTGGGAATAGTGACAGAACGCTTTTTAAATTGGGTCTGGATAATAATTTGGCATTCATTTAGGTGTGGTTTTGGTTGTTTGTTTTTTTTTTTTTTTTTTTTGAAATTGGAGGGGGGGGAAGCTGTGAATGCTAGGAAATTAATTGGTGAGAAAATGAATATATGTCCTAGGCATCTTTTCTTCCTGTTTAGGTTTGCAAGACTTGCTGCTAATACTTTCGTCAGTCAAGGAATTCCAGTTTATCTGTTCTCTGATATTACACCAACTCCTTTTGTGGTAGGTTTCTCTATTATATCTTTTTATATACACACAAATTCTGTCAGCTATCTTGCATTACTTACGTTAGGGAAAACTAGACAAACCACTTTAAACTTTTTAAGCTCTATTATGCTTAAAAAGTTTAGTCTTATGCTTATTTAGCAAAGTTTAGTTTACAACATCCACAAGCAAGAGAAGGAAGAAGCTTAGTGGAATACCAGTGACAGTGGGATGTGTTCCTATTTTTATTCCTGCTTTCAGGCAGATTTCTTGTAGAAGACATCTCATTGTTTCTAGATTGCTGTGGAGTCTGAAGTCTGAAACGTACACACACATTTAGTGTTGTGATTTTTTTTTTTTTCTGGTTGGTTGGCTTGCTTGGTTTCTTTAATTTTTTTTTTTTTTCTTTTTGGAGTGTTGAATCCAAAGTAGCCTTTTTAAATAGCAGGTTGCTGGAGTGCAGCGCTGTTATGCTGGGAGGGCTGTTGAATGTGTTTGCATTTTCACTGTCAGATCACTAGGTGACAGTCCTCCACAGCAATAACGAAAAACATTCCCTTTGCGCTATAAGCAACAGTTTCTCCCAGTATCAGTTGCTCCAGTGAGTGCTGCAAACATGACAGAGGGATAAAGACTTTGTATGTCGTTCCTGTATTGATAAAACTTTTGGTTGAGTTAGGGTCAAATTCTTCATAGTGCAGCTCAAAGCAGTGTTGCAAGAACTGCAGTTGATTGCATCCGCTATTAAATAAAGAGCCAGGAGTAAACTGGAACTGGACCTGTGGTCACAAATAATGCTTTATTTTTAATTCACTCCATCTGTTTTGGACTAATTAGTAAGAGCTCTGTCCAAAACAATTCTCTTCTGAACCACGATGGAGTAGTTGCTCCACAGGCTGCTCTCAAAAGATAGTATGGATGAGACTGCTCCAGCTGTAATTCTCTACTCTATGCAGACTTCTGTCATTGCCCCAACAGACTTTGCATCCTTAAAGACCTAAAGTATCTCAAGTCATTCTACAGTAGGCAACACATGCATTTGGTTTCCTTCTATAAAACCGCTACTCTGGAGATCCACAAAGCATCTGAAACAACACTAAGATTATATAAATGGGAAAACGGACAAGAAAAAGCAAGAGCTAAAGTTGTGCCTCGTGGGGTCTAGCAGAGCAGGTACTACTTAGGTACTGCTTTAGAGAGTCAGTCTGTAGGAATCACATCCTGGCTTTCTTTTCCTTCATCAGTATGGAATTATTGCAGTGCATGAGAATAAATAATATATAATATTTTGCACATTCCATTTCAGATAACTTTCTCTTGTTACAGCCATACACAGTAACTCATTTGAAGCTTTGTGCTGGAATTATGGTTACAGCTTCCCATAATCCAAAACAAGATAATGGTTACAAGGTATTCCTATATGATCTATTTTCTGGCTTTTTTCAAACTTTTTTTTTCCATGTGGAGACACTAATACTGTTCTGTATAGTTCCTATCATGGTATAGACCAAATTAATTGATAGTTTGATCTCTTCTAGTTGTATGTATTTAAAGCTAGTAGCATGTTACACTAATAAGATAATTAAAATCTTAGCTCTAAAAAGCAAGAAGATAAGTAATACCATTGCATGCTTTAGAACACTTGAAAATATTAACTGACCTCTTTTCAAGAGCATTAATTATTTCTCCAATTCATGATTAAAAAAGATCTCTTTAGTTTTACAAACCCAGAGAATTAAAAATATGTGAAACCTAATGAGTTGCTTGTACAAAACACTTTGAATAAATTCCATTAATTTCTTGTAGAATATTTTTCTTTTGCTAAATGACACGATTATCAGTGTGACTTTTTTCTGTGACAGAAATCTGGTTTCCACTGAAAAAAAAAAACATGGCTGAGCTTCCTGTCTGCCAGCCGGACTAGTCATGTACAGACCATTTCCAAAATACAAAAATGGAAGTTGGGAGATCATAGAATCATAGAATCATAGAATGGTTAGGGCTGGAAGGGACCTTCAAAGGTCATCTAGTCCAACCCCCCTGCAAGGAACAGGGATATCTCCAACTAGATCAGGTTGCTCAGGGCCTTGTCCAACCTGGCCTTGAACGTCTCCAGGGATGGAGCATCCACCACCTCTCTGGGCAACCTGTTCCAGTGTTCTACCACTCTCATGGTAAAAAATTTTTTCCTAATATCCAAATAGATATTATCCTAATATCGAAATAGATAATATCCTAGATCTTTTTTTGTCTTCTTAATAGAAAAATAAGGCATTAGCAGGGATGATTTCTTGCTGTCTCTCCCTCCAGAACTACATGTCTGTTTAAAATTGCTTTTTTTAATATTTCATGTATTGATCTTGATAGCTTGTTCGGATGTTTTATCAATTACTTTTTAAGTCAACTTCATTTTTTCTGAATGTTTTGATATTTGGGCTACATATGTGCATGGTCCAGACGTTGTAAGGTATCTTTCCTTAAACTTGTGGTCTGTAAACCATGAATAGAAGGAAGTGTGCAAACAACTGTCACATAGTAAGTACACTTCTTCCTGGGTATGTAAGCAATCAACAAAAAGGAGAAGACTACAAATAATGAACATTTTGAAACTTAGTTGAATTTGTGCTTGCTGTTGTGGCAATGCTGCTGCTGTAAGCAGTGGTAAATGTGTTTCACTTTTGCACACTTTTTTTCCGCTTCAGAATTCTTCTATATATAATGATTATACCTAAAAATCTGAAAGAAAGTGTGTGAAATAGCATTGGCAAGTTATCAAGGCTGGCAGACAGGCTGATACTTGAATCTTCTCAATAAATGAGCTGGGTCTTGTTTTGTGTTTCATTATGGATTTTGATATCTTCTGATAAAATTAAACAGTTTTTCCTTTAGAACAAAAATGGAATGTGAGAGGAAACACTGAGAATATGATCAGTGGAATACTCTGGGTATACTTAAGCCTAATTTGTTGTAATGCTCTGCTGAATCTAGTGTACCTTAGCCAACCAAAAAATAACAAAGCTATGCTACATATTAATGACCAAATACGCACTTACCCTCTTTATTATTTAGGTTTACTGGGAAAATGGTGCTCAGATCATTTCCCCTCATGACAAAGGAATTTCTCAGGCGATTGAGGAGAACCAAGAGCCGTGGCCTCAGGCTTGGGATGACAAACTGATTGACAGCAGCCTGCTACTTCATGATCCATATGCCACGGTCAATAAGGAGTATTTCAAAGACATACAGAAACAGTGCTTTCACAGGTAACTGATTTTACCTCTGTTAAGAATGTGGGATTTTTCATCTGGTACGTCAGCAGGGCAGCTTAAATTGATGGAAGTCAGCACGGCCATGATCCTGCTATGATCCAGTTCTGTCTGTGCCTTCTTGTCATCTTTTGCAGTAGCACTGGCAGCTGCGTGGTGACGTAGTAAGCCAGTTCATAAAGCTGATCTGGCAGAAGTCTAACCCAGAAAAGTGAGCAATTAGGTTCTGATTATGTGATCTTCCTGTATTCACATGATCATACATCAGCAGAATGCCACAGCAAGGCTGGGGCTGTCTTATGCAGCTGAGGGTGAACTGCACTGATGGTCCAACAGCCTTAAAATGAGCTTCTAAGAGAGAAGGTGAATTAGGCTATTAAGCCAGTTCTGGAAGAAGGAGGTCTTGCTCTGTCATTCTAGCCTTGCGTGTGCTCCTGATGGCTTTGGGTGCCTTGCACAAGCCTATTCTTATCACTTGCTCAGCAAAACTTAACAAAGTCAAGTGGATGTTTCTCTTTGTGCTTAACAAGTAGAATCGGTTTATGGATTAGATGAGCAGCATCATGTTAGAACTGCTTATTTACATCAAAATTTCAACCATCAGTAACAATGTTCTTACTCTTGCTAAAGATGAAGTCTGAATTACTAGAAAGTTGGGGCTATGTGAGAAATTGTGCTGCTTTTTCAGCATGTCTCCATAGGAGTTTGCATGCCTTTAGGTATATTCTACACTTTCAGTTATGTATCTCATAAAAATGAGCGTGCTCAAATGAGGTGTGCTGATTTCGGTTCACTGTGTTCACAGTCTTTGGAGTCTGGTTTAAATGCCAGAGTTGGGGATTAAGAGTCTCACTAGTCAGTTGTATTTGTTTTCCACTTGCCTCCTTTGGGATGCAGAGAGTGTACTATCTTTCTTGGATTGAGAGCAGCCCTTAGAAGGACTTGGGAGTCTTGGTTGATGAGAAGCTCAACATGAGCCTGCAACATGTGCTTGCAGCCCAGAAAGCAGAAAGCCAACCGTATTGTGGGCTGCATAAAAGAAGCATGGTCAGCAGGTTGAGGGAGGTGATTCTGCCCCTCTACTCTGATCTCGTGAGACTCCACCTGGAGTGCTGCGTTCAGCTCTGGGGCCTCCAACACAAGAAGGACATGGAGCTGTTGGAACGAGTCCAGAGGAGGGCCACAAAGATGATACAAGGGCTGGAGCACCTCTCCTGTGGAGACAGGCTGAGAGAGTTGGGGCTGTTCAGTCTGGAGAAGAGAAGGCTCCAGGGAGACCTTCTAGCAATCTTCTAGTACCTGAAGACAAGAAAGCTGGAGGGGGATTTTATGCAAGGGCATGTAGTGACAGGACAAGGGGCAATGGATTTAGAGTGAAAGAGGATAGATTTAGATTAGACCTAAGGAAAAGATTCTTCACTCTGAGGGTGGTGAGGCACTGGAACAGGTTGCCCAGAGAAGTTGTGGCTGTCCCATCCCTGGAAGTGTTCAAGGCCAGGTTGGATGGGGCTTTGAGCAACCTGATCAAGTGGAAGGTATCCCTGCCCCTGGCAGGTGAGTTGGAGCTGGGTTATCTTCAAGGGCCCTTCCAACCCAAACCATTCTATGATTCTATGATTCTATGGTTCTTATTCCAGTGATTTGCACATAGCAGGACATCAGATATCAAAAGTGACTCATATTGCTGAAAAATGTGGCTAACCCAATTTTCAAGCCATTACCTTTAAAATCTGACCTCCTTTAATTTGTAATTTTAACAGTGATACAGAATACTGAGACATATCTTTGTCCAAACATAGTCAATTTTATGCAGGATATTCTTCCATATCCAAGTTTACTGTTAATCTGTTTTATTTCAGGAATATAAACAAGGAAACAAACCTGAAATTTGTTCATACTTCTGTGCATGGTGTAGGTCATAAATTTGTGCAGTTGGCCTTCAAGGCATTTGACCTTAGCCCTCCTTTTGCTGTTCCGGAGCAGAAAGATCCTGATCCAGAATTTCCCACAGTGAAGTATCCAAATCCTGAAGAAGGCAAAGGTGTTCTGGTAAATAGATTTTTTTGTTGTTTTAATAGTTGCACTGTCTTTCAAACAGTGTTTCCTTTCTGCCAATAGGCATGGCTATAAATATTGGCTGAAGGTCTATTTTGTTTCTGTTTTCATAGCCTACATTTACTGAAGAGTTAGGTAGTGTCCTTTCATTGAAATTTATAACTCTTTTTGAACCAGTCAGGTAATAATTAGCTGTAACTTTAAACTACTGTGTTCTGCGCTCTAGCAGAATGGGCAGCACATAAAGTTATATAGTTCCTTTTAAAAAATAAAATAATAATTAAAAAATCTTCACAGTTGGTTTTGGAATATTTCTGTCATTTACATCTGAAATACAAGGACTAAACTGTTCTGATACCAGGAGAGGGGCAGGGGAAGTGCTGACAGGTGGTTAGAATTTGTGCTACAAGTATTTCTGCGGCGCTGTGTTTTTGAAGGATCCTATTGAATCTAAGTAGTGTTTGACTCTGGCTGCAGAGTGGAACAATGTAGGTAAAGTTAAATGTCTTGACTGAGCTCTACTGCTGCCAGGATTGAAATTTATTTTTTTATAGAGACACATCATGATTTTGGGTGTTTGAGATTTAAATAATTTTCTCAATTTATTTAAACCTATAAAGAAAACAAAAATACTATTTGGGAGTATTAACACTCATCTGGTCTTGCTTACCACTTTTCCAGACGTTGTCTTTTGCTCTGGCTGAAAAAGATGGGGCAAAAATAATTTTAGCAAATGATCCTGATGCTGATCGACTCGCAGTGGCAGAGAAACAAGAGAGGTATGGTAACAAAGAAATGCAAAACATGTACATCTTTTACTTAAAGGCTAAGCTCGTTTGGGGATGCTTGCTGCCTGTGTTACAGAGGAAGACAAAATAGTCACAGTAGTCATTTTTGAGCTGAAAACACATAGAAATATTCTTTAATATGAGTTCCTTCTGTCTTAAATACTGTTAGGCCAGACGTCTTATTAACCATTAGATGATTTGGGCCTCTCTCGCTCAGTTCCCCACTTCGATGCATAGTGTTACATACCTGCATTTCACCTTAAGCTTTGTCAGTGTTTGGTACTTTTCAGTATAGTTGTTTGTACTCTCTCCTTTAAGGACCGGCTATACATGCATGAGTTATCTATGTATATCCTGTCAAAGAACGGGATCACAAAAGGTAAACTTGCTCAAACAGGGGCTTCTCATAAATTTTTTGTATGTATGTATGGAATGTGTAACCTATAGTTCTGACCCAATATTGCCATCCCCTTATTTCATGCCCTCTGATATCCTGTACTTCTACAGTTGTTTGCACTTCTGTATTGTGGTTATAGTTGATGAATGAAAATAAGCTGAAGTACTGCACTTGGCATCATATCTGCAAATAGTGGTGTTTCTCTTTTATCTGCCTTGATAAAGCAGAAACTAATCTGAGCAGTTAGAAACGATAAATCTTTAATAAAAGTAAACTTCCAGGTTTTCAGCTTAGAGAGGAGCAGAACAAAAATCCGCTGCTGAGCCAGGAGCAGAAATAGTATAAATTAATTCCCTGTGCATGAGAGCCAGAAGAGGGATATAAAATCATGGCAACAGTCTTTGGTACCCAGGGGATGAGATGGGTACCTGGTAGATGTCCTCAGTGATTGTAGATGCTGCAGATATTTGAACCTTTGTCAGTTATGCAGATTCCAAAAACCCGGTAAAAGAAGACAGTGCAAATGTCCATTTTGCTCACCAGGTAATCCCTTTTGGTCTTGTAGCAACTTCAAAGGTGGCAGTGTTTTCTTTGGGATTTTGGGGCTTTTTTTTTTAACTCATTAGCCTCACAGCGTGAACTAAGGAGACTTCTCTGCCTTTAGAAGAAGAATGGGCTAATTGGCGCTCTCTGCTGTGTCTTGGGCAGTGTTAGCTGGAATATATTTTAATGTTTTTGGCCTGTGCCAGCCTCAGTTGGCAATTCAGCATTGAGGAAAAAGCATAAAAAGCTTCAATTGGTGTTAGATGTGATGGGTTAAAACAAGAATGCAAAATCACTCCTGTTTTTTGTCCAAAAGCTTATAGCTATCAGAGACTTGAAGAGGGGGTGTTAGTTTCATGTATTTACCACCATTGAGAGCACAGTGCTCTCGTTCTGCTGTGCCTTTGCTAATTGTTTAGCCAGTTCTAGTTGTCTCCTAACTTCCAGTCCTGCGTCCTCTCAGACTTCTGCTGTAGCTGTTCATACACTAATCAAGTATTACTATAGGCTTCCACAGTATCTGTACTTCTTCTTTGACAGAAACTCCTACTCGAGCGCACGCTCTCAGCGCTCTAACGCTAAGTTGTCGCTGTACATTGCTTTGTGCCTGTTGGCATCAATAAATGCAGGAGGCTGAGTCTGCTTCTCTTTCGCAACAGGTACTGTTTCTGTAGGTCTTGGTTTTTGTCAGTTTGGCAGTGTCTTTGTCCCCTTTTGTGACTGGGAAGTTTTGGGCGATTTTTACATCGGTCTTTCCCTTTTTCCTTCAGTTTTTCTTGTTCCAGCAACATGTCAATGTTAATCTTTTTTTAACCATTTGAGATTTTTTTTCCAATCTTCTCAATGACCAATTGATGTATTTGTGATTAAATAAAAAGTGTTTGTCACTGAGTCGAGTAAAAATAACTGATCACTTGAGAATTGTATTTTCGTGTCTCTGTGCTTGTCTTAATCACTGATTTTATGAATTGTCTGCTGAATGTTTTGTTTTACTTAAAATATGCTGGAAATACCACCATTTGATCTTTGGATAAACTCAAAAGCTGGTACGTATGATGGAATAAGAAGGTAACCACTTCAGAATTTTTTTTTTTTTTGAGGGCGGCACGGAATTTTTTCATTTTTGCATAATGAACACATGATATCTTGTTACTGTTACTTGGAATTCAGATGCAGTGGTTTATTTGCTAGTATTCATGTATGGAAGAACCAGTAGATTTTTTTTTTTTTTTTTTTCTTTCCTCCAGTATTATCCTTTGAATTCAAATACTTTCTATTACTATTTTTTTTCCCCTCCAGTGGTGAATGGAAAGTGTTTTCTGGAAATGAGCTGGGAGCTCTTTTAGGCTGGTGGATCTTCACATGCTGGAAAAATCACAATAGGGATACTCGTGCCATTAAAGATGTCTACATGTTATCCAGTACTGTTTCTTCCAAAATCCTGAGAGCAATTGCACTAAAGGAAGGTTTTCACTTTGAGGTAAGCAACATGTTACACATTGTTCCATGTTCTTTTCTTTGCTTTCCTACACAGTGTTGTGTCTTGTAAAACACTGCTTTTATTCTTAATGCCTTTTTTTCTCATCACTGCTGTAGGAAACACTGACAGGTTTCAAGTGGATGGGCAACCGTGCCAAACAGCTCATGGACCAAGGAAAGGCTGTCCTTTTTGCATTTGAGGAGGCTATAGGTAGGAAACACAATATTATGTTCTGGTATCCTGTAAAATAGTGAAAGTGAGAGTACTGAAAAAAATGGCAATGTAAAGGTGTCTTCAACACAATGGGTGTTTTTCCAGTGAGTAATTAATAATCATCCATTTGGCTGATTGACAGTACTACTTTTAATCCTTTATATCTCTGCTTAGCACAGAGTATGATAATGTAAGCTAGCTGTATGTGTGTTCAGTAGCATGGCTACGTAGACTAGTAATTTGGCACAAGCTGTTTAAAAAAAAAAACAGACATGTTTTTCAGACTTCATGTTGAGTGTGTTTACGTGACAGTTTTAAGCTAAGTTTAGATGTGAATAAAATAAACTAAAAACTCCCCTAAATTACACTTCTAAACTGGAAAGCCATGAATAAAAGCTATGAAATAATGAGAAGGAAATTGTAAAGCTATAATGCTATTTCTTGGGTATCTCAGTACCTGAAAAACAGATAAAATGTCAATAATTTCACAGGTAATTATCAGTGTTACCATATGCTACCATGTAAGAGTAATCACATTTGAGACAAAGTGCTGTACTTGCATTATTCCTGCAGTGTGGCATTTGTCTCCCATGAGAGCTCCAAGAGCACTCGGGAGCATCTGGCACTGATATGATACAAATCTGTCTCTGTCTCAAAATTCCATTAAATACCTTGCTTATCAAATTTAACATTGATAGAAGATAAAATTTTTCCACTTTTGTTTTAACTCTAAAATGTCTGTACTATGATAATGTGCATCTCTCATTTAAAAGATGTTAGTTTGATTAACTCCCTCCCTCTATTTTATCTTATTTCTTCATAAAAATATATCAAATACATGTAATTTTCTCTGTTTAGGATATATGTGCTGTCCTGCTGTTCTGGACAAAGATGGGGTCAGTGCCGCTGTTATAACAGCAGAGATGGCTAGCTTTTTGGCAACCAGGAATTTGACTTTGTCTCAGCAGCTGAGAGCTGTATATGATGAGTGAGTTTGATTATAATTGTTGAATTTTAAGATTTTCTCAGTTCCACATACTGGAGTTAATAGGAACTCAATAGCAACCTATATGAAGAAATAAAAATTGGGTTATGGTACTATTAAAACAGTTCTGTGTTAATAGTAATCTTCTAGAAAGTGCTCCCGTCTCATGGGCATGAATATATTTATGACTTAGTTTTGTGTCATTTTAAGGTATTTTAAAAATAATTGTATTACCTTACTAATTCCCTATGAGTTAATGAGATTTTTGAGGTACTTTTGTTTGCTTATCTGAGAGGTTTTTCCCTTTTGGGAAGTTCTGCTCTTAGGTCCTTTTACAGAAGATTGGCCTGGTTTTTGGCCAGCAGTATTGCTGTGTTGTAGAAATCATAGTGCCTCTTGCTGCTTAAATGTGCCAGATGCACAAAAATGTTGATGGCAGAATGGGTCTAAGTAGCTCTGGCACGTTTATGCTATTCATAGAAACCAGCTTGCTTCTATCCTGCTTGCAGGGCTACTTGTGATTAAATTAATTGTAGTTGGCTCTAAAATTAGGCTTTTTGTTATATTATTCTGTCTTTTTTTGGTGGATAGTATAGTTGGTTGTTGGTTGTTCTTTCCCTTTCTACTCCTGAATCCTGAGATTTGAGCTGATTCTGCAGAAGTGCTGTAACTAGCCATAACTATTGGCTATATACAGCTGGGTGTCCCTCTGGGAGCTTTGAATATGAGGCACAGCTTTTCTTTTGTTCTTGTTTAATGTGTTCAAAGACCTACAGAAATCAATGGCAAAGATGGCTATTGGATTTGTGGGGCGTTCGGGTTGTTTGTTTTAAAGGAGTGAGCAACACAGGCTGGCTGATACTCTCCACCTCTTCATGTGTCATAGACAGTAGCAAAGTAGGGGTGAGACCTGCAAAGAGAAAACTGATGGAAAGCTCCAGCCTTGGTTCTGCTTGTTTTACCAATCCTCAGAGCTCTCATTTGTGTGCAGCACTAGCCATGCTTGTTTCATCCACTGTTTAAGGAGGAATCCAAGTGACAAAGACTTGCTAACCCACTGCATAAATAAATTGTGGGATTTATCAGCTATTGTACATGGCAGAAGTTTAGGTGGGTTCAAGAAACTAATATAAACGCATGGAAGAGGAATTCATACCTAGAGCTGCAAATATAGCATCTAACGTGAGAATTCCCTTAGTTACTAGCAGCTGGAAGTGTATATTCAAAGAGTTACCCTCTCTGGCTCTTGCCACCCAACCTCCCTTCAATACTCATTCAGTAAACACTTGCTTCAGGTTGCCCTCAGAATATTTAACTGAGTGGAAGTGAGCTGTGCCTCAGTGCCGCTGTGTACATAGCCACTGAAGAGGACTCTCAAAGTCAGAGCTTACTTAGCATAAAAGCAGTCCGTAGATGCACCTCAAAGTAAGATGTCACTGCACATAGTCACTCTTTGTGGAAAAGCAACAGATACAAATCATAGAATCATAGAATGGTTAGGGTTGGAAGGGACCTCAAAGATCATCTAGTTCCAACCCCCCTGCCATGGGCAGGGAAATCCTCTACTACACCAGGTTGCGCAAAGCCTCATCCAACCTGGCCTTGAACACCTCCAGGGATGGAGCATCCACAACTTCTCTGGGCGACCTGTTCCCGTGCCTCACCACCCTCAATGTAAAGAATTTCTTTCTTATATCTAACCTAAATCTCCCCTCTTTCAGTTTAAATCCATTGCCCCTTGTCCTATCACTACACGCCCTTGTAAAAAAGTCCCTCTCCAGCTTTCCTGTAGGCCCCCTTTAGGTACTGGAAAGCTTCTATAACATCACCCTGGAGCCTTCTCTTCTCCAGGCTGAACAGCCCCAACTCTCTCAGCCTGTCTTCATAGCAGAGGTGCTCCAGCCCTCTGATCAAATCTGCCTTATTAAATTGATGCTTGATGACTAGAACTGAAAGGGGCATTCTTTTTTTGTTTTGGGGGGTCGTTTTGTGTGTGTTTGATTTTTGTTTTAGTGGCTAGTACAGAGTTGCAGTTTTCTACTCCTTACTACTTTATTCTTCATCAGATTTGTCTTATGAGTTAATGTCGAAGCAGAAGAAACTGCGCTGTATTATGGAGGTATAGAAGGCGAATCTGTTCTCAAAGAAGTAAATGCAGGTCAGGAAAAGGACAGCCCTAACAGGCTCATCACGTCTTTCAGTTATAGGATAGGTTTTGTTAATTCCCTTGCTGGAGTCTCAAAAATGATTTAAGAACTATTGACCTCCAAGATGTCCATTTTGGTATAAACATGACCTTATTTAAGGAATCTTTCACATTTCTAGCAGTAACATTCTAGTACTAACAAAAGATTCTACCCTACAGATTTTCCCTGCCATCAAGGATACTCATCAAGTGTTGATCTTTAGTAAGAGCTCATTTAAACAACCCGTCCAGGCTTGTATGCTTTTCAACAACGTGCTCTTTTCAAAAGTCTTTTCAGTGTTAGCAGGTGATTTATCTTTGCAGATTCTGCATCATATTACCTGGCAGCAAACAGATGAGATAGAGACAATGTTCAGAATGGTTTGGTTTAGTAGAAGCACTTTAAATGGGAAAGCAGCTTCTGAAGTGTGATTGGAAAAAAGCAATCTGGAATTTGTTTTACTCAGAAAAGGTCAGCTGGAATCCAGTCAAAGAAGCTATTTAGATGTAGTCTGTTCTCTTCCTATGGTGGTTAGATTTCTTCAAGGCAATAATGACATCTTTTTTTCTTCTGGTTTAGCAGGAAACTTTCTAATTTTTAATCATTGAAAGGAAGTGTTCAAGGCCAGGTTGGATGAGGCTTTGGGCAACCTGGTGTGGTGGATGGTTTCCCTGCCCATGGCAGGGGGGTTGGAACTAGATGATCTTTGAGGTCCCTTCCAACCCTAACCATTCTATGATTCTATGAAAAGGTGTCTGCACAGAAGTTTCTTTGAAGTATGTAAAATAGGACAAATAAGCTGTTGAGGCCTTTTTAAAATTGTAAGGGAGTGAATTGATGCTACGGTTGGGTGACCGTGAGTATAGATTCTTGCTTTATAGAAGGTTGTGCAATGCGTATGGTGTACAACACTTAAGAACAACACTGCTTCTTCAATTCATTAATATTGTGTCTTCACAGATATGGCTTCCATATTACTAAAGCTTCATATTTCATCTGCCATGATCCTAAAGTTATTCAACAGCTTTTTGACAACCTTAGAAATTTTGATGGAAAAAACACATACCCAAAATCTTGTGGTAGATTTAAAGTTTCTGGAATAAGGGATCTAACTACTGGATATGACAGCAGCCAGCCAGATCAAAAGGCTGTAAGTATATTTTTTTAATTTTATCTAAATCATCTAATTATGTATATACACATATAAAAAAATCTATGGAGAAACACTGTAAACATTATGTTACATCTTGGATCTTAAAATAAGTTACATTGAGGATGATTGTTTTGCCTTGGTGGGAGGAAATGAAGGTTGGGGGAGGGGGGAAGGGTTGGGGTTTTGTTTGGTTTTGTGGTGTTTTTTCTCTCCAAGATGACAGTCTGTAAAGGGAGATGGGAGGATCTTGCTGTCTTGCTACAGCAATCTTGCATTATGTCTCTTTTAAGTGATTATTTCTCTTTTAGTGTAAATCAAACTGTCTACTGAGATGTGGCTTTGGGTTCTTTAGTTTTTCACAGTCCATGTTTCTTTTCCTCTTGGGAATTGCCATCACAGAGCAATTTCAGTTTGCAGTAAAAATATTGACTAGACTCAAAATGAGCTACCTAGCAGTAACGTAGTGCTACCAGATTCTAGGCTGAAGGTAAGGCTGTCATTTGCCTGTTGTGGTCTCAAGACCAGAATGGTGAAGAAAACAGAACAAAGCTTAATTTTAGCTGATCCTTTAGTTATATGACAGGAAGTCATGAGGTTTGTCCTGAATTCATTATATGTAGTCATTTTCCAAGCTTTTAAAAGATTATTCTTACTATTCTAGATACTTCCCACTAGTAAAAGTAGCCAGATGATAACGTTCACTTTTGCTAATGGAGGAGTGGCCACAATGAGAACCAGTGGGACGGAACCAAAGATCAAATACTATTCTGAACTTTGTGCACCTCCTGGAAACAGGTATGTTTCCTGTTTTTAATGCCGTGTAATAGGGGCTGTGTGGCTTTTTGATTTAGTTTTGGTGGGGAAGGGGCTCTCCATGATCAAATAATACTACTTCAGTCATTGTTTTAGTGAATGTATTTGCATAAACCTTCGATTCTGCAAAATTTGGTGACCCATTCTTATTGTCACTGAAATTCCTTTGAATATGGTTTCACATTCAGTAAAAACAATATCAAGAAAAACATTATGCCTTAAATGAAAGTAGATACATTCATTCTCTTTTTACATACATATTTGCTTTAAGCTTACATAACTATATATGAAGTGTTCTAATGTGTTTTAAATCCTTTTATGTTTAGTTACTATATCCTTGACTGATAGCCTTGGAAATAATACAGTCTTAAAGATAAGCAATTATTAACTTGTGTATTGAAAACAATGCTTTCTCACAGACGAAAATTAATCTGAAAATACTATTACAAGTATAAAAGTTACACTTCTAATCACATACATTTAGTAACAAAAGATCTTTGGAACAGAAACTGGCTGTTCTATTTTAGATTATATTGTGAATTTATGTTTCTCCATAGTCTTAAGTGCCTTTGTGCACATCAGCTGGAAGTGAACATCAGTGCATTACTGTAAGGAATCAAGTGTATGTACTTTTAGCATTAATAGAAAATGCTTGTCTAAATGCAAGAGACTTAAAAATTCCTCAGACTGAAAATGTGCTTTTTAGCTTCTCCACTGTGACACTTTTGTCTGTATTTGTGTGGATTTTGTTTCTCAGTGATGTTGAGCAGCTGAAGAAGGAACTAGATGAACTGGTCAACGCTCTTGAAAAACACTTCTTTCAACCGGAAAAAAATAATCTTCAACGAAAGACTGAGTAAAAGAGGAAAATTACTACCTTAATTGATTTTTGCAGCATTAGAAGTGTATTATTTAAGAAGTAAGGATTTTTAGGACCAAACATCTGAGAACTCAGACTAAAAAGAGTTCTGCGTTTCATAAGAGTTACTCTGGGTACTCCTGGTTCTATTATCTTATTTTGGAAGGAAAGTACCTTTAGCCTTAAAGGACCAAAACCCCCAATCAGTTGAACTGAAAGCTTTATGAACTAAAAGCTGACTGCAAATGTATTTCAATCAAAACTTGTTTTAATTAAATATTATAAGTAATACCCTGATTTCTGAAATGCAGCCTGTTTTGTGGGGACTTTTTATTTCTTTTGTGTGTGTAATCTAGTAATAGTATGCAACTTTATCTAGGTTTAAATTAGCAAAGCAGGTTTTTCTGTTAACAAGAAGTACTGAAAGCCTGTGGTGAGACTTTGACAAACTTGGGGCAAATGTTTCAGAAATAGTGATCTTCCTTGGGGATTTTGGCCCAAATAAACAAGACATTCACAGTGAATTTGCTGAAGAGCTATTTGCTGTGGAACTATACATCATATATTCCAGATTAGAGATACTAAGTGTACTAAACTGCCTTTTAATTCCATAAACATATTGAGAGAATATATATATATATATACACACACAAATAGCACGTTTCTGTTGCCTCATTGAACTAAGCATAATTAGGTCAATGGATACCCCAGTCTCAGAGCCTGTCATACTGTATGCTACCATGACTTGGTGCATAACTCTTTATTCTAATTTAGAGCAGAAGTTTCCATTTTATTGCATACTGTTGTCTGCAGTTGAAAAGCCCAAGAGGGCTATTTGGAGGCTACCAGATGACTTTAATACAAGGGTTTTCTGCATTTTCAGTACTTGTTTTGGATATCAGTGTAGCTCTAACAGCTTCCATACTTCTTGGGTAAAGAAACCTCTTTGCCAGAATTACTTCTGGTATCCCTTGGAGAATGACAAGTTTCCAGACCAAGCTTAGATCAAATTTAGCAAATTATTCTTGGAAGAGCAAACTCGCCGTTCCATCCCCAATAGATACTAGCTTACCTTGTTAGCTAAGATGATAAGCAGAGAACACTGAATGCCTGCTTTTTACCTTACAGACTTTAGAGTTACCATCAGAGGACACAAGGAAAGCAGTAGTCCCTGCATTCTGTGGTTGTCACGTCAGTTTTTCTTGGCTGTTCAGAGTCAAAGGCAGCATCTGAATCATTCATGTTGAGATCCATCTGTGTGGCATAGAAAATTAACTTTAAAATAAAGTAATAAGAAGGGTACTGAGGAAACAGAGTATGCTGTTACTCAAATCCTAGTCCTCTAGAGTAGAAAGCTAAAAAGATAGGTAGGTAGTTTGTGCAGAAAGTGCTGGTTCACACCCTCCACTTTTCTGTTTCCATTTCTCTTATACTAAACTAAAGATGAGACAGGTTTTTATTGATACATGCTTATATGGTGCCTTGAATAATGCAGTCCATATTCCTAGATAGGACCCTAGGGGCTACTAAATATAGTAAAAGCTGTAAAGGGAATCTCAGTATTGACTTCAGTGCACTCAGTTGTATCACATTGCATGAAATTTCTGTACATATCAACTCCCACTGTCCCTTCCTTCTGAAAACAAAAGCTAAGGACAAATTAAAAGCTTAAAATAAATATATAGTATTTTAGACTCTTTTCATGCATGTTAAATGTGCTAAAACAGTGCATTTGGCATGTGGTAAATCTGAACTGATTCTCAAAAGGAAAACAGAACTTCTTAAGACACTGAGACAGATTGATCACCTGTACCTTTCCACCTGACCTTGTGGCAGAAAAGTCTATTAATCTGGGCTTTTTTTGATTAAAGAAACTTTTCGTTCATGAAATCTGAAGACAACATTACTGGTCTTTTAAAATTTTAAGTTTTGTCATCTGATTTCAAGAGTTCCATGTCTTATTATCTAGAACTGAGATGGGGAGGGATTTCAAGACCATATATAGGAGGGGGCCACAAAAACAAGGATCTGTTATTAAGGAATAAAAATGACAAATTTAACTTTTGTCATAGTCCAAATCTGAAGTACTTCTCAATAGCAGATGTTCCCTTGTTCCATTTCCTCTGCTTCCTCAGTACCTGTGATGCTGGGTCCCCAGCTGCCTGAGACCTGGAATAGTGAGAGTGTGGTACAAGTTTGTGAGACCAGAGCATGAAAGGGTGCTGACACATCACAGAAAAAAGCAGGCACTTGAGTCTCTGAGGTTTCTGTGATAAGTTTCAATGTAGCAAGAGCTGAGAAGAGAAATTAAGCAGGAACCTCACCCACTGCTTCCTAACCCCACTATTGCAAAGGTTCCGTTTTTCTTCTTTTCCTGCCTCTCAGCACATGATGTCCTGCTTTCCTTCATTTATGAAAAGGCAGCAGAGAGATTTGAAATGAAGAAGGTAAGGGGGAAGATTAAATTGAGATAGCGTGTTCAGATTGTGTACTCCTGTCCTCAAGTAGAAGAACAAAGCTGAAAGGAAATTGCTCCCATGTGCTATTGCTTTGTCTTTTACTCATTGATTAAAAGAGCAGGAGAATGAGAAGCAGAATGGAATACTGGGGCACCTGGTTGTCTTAACTGGTCCTTAATTTGTTCCCTCTGCCATTCCTGGTAAGAGCCTTTCTTTGTGGAACATCCTCCCTCGAAGGAACATCATCTTTTGGGTGTGCTGGATAACAGTTGATGTAGGGTGTTATGTTCAGCTGCACCATCGTTTCTGGCTGAATAAGTTGAAGGGTGAAGCTTGCGGGGGAAATGGAATCTGGTTTGACTTACATTCACAACCATAGCTACGAACTTTTTATAAATAAAAAACTTTAAAGCTTTATTATCCTCCCAGAAGTCAAGTTCTCTATCTTCAATATTTTTAGTACAACTTGAAGATGGCATCAGTTGTGCATCTGGGTACAGGGAAAGAACCTCTTGGAAAGCTTAAGAAATTTCCCAGCATTATGATGGCAGGGGTGCATGTGCCGTTCATATTCAGCTATGACTTGTTTCACCCTGCATGCAGATGTGATTGGTTCTTCAAGGAGCAGCACTTACTATCTGGTGGCATTAGGCTTTTTGGCTTCTGGGTAGTGATCTACTGCAACCTGGTACCAGTCTGTCACTACGGGCCTGGCACATAAACTGCTGAATGTCCATGCCTGTCTCTAGCCCAAAGTCAGGCTGCAGGGAGGAGAGGGATACACAGGCGTGTGGTCCCCAGAACAGAGTAAGGGGCCTTATTTCAAGGTACTGGCTACATGAGGAGTGGAAGTGTGAATTTTGGGCCTATACTTGAATTTCACTCTTGGTAGAGTTGAACATACGGCTCGTGACTTAACCACAGGCCACCCTTGCAAAACATTGTTTCCTGCACCGCATTGCAGCCTGAGCTTCAAAAGCAAATGGCTCTTCACAGGCTCCCAACCCAGACTGCTTGCTGCCTGGATAGATGATGTTGGTCAGTGCTTCCGAGGCTGACTTGTTTGTGGTATCCAGCCTCTGTGTGATGACTGTGGGCTGAGGGTCAAGATTAAGACAGGCCATCCAGCAGTACCTGTGCTAGAAGATACAGCAGTAGAGGGCATACCATGCTGGAGTGTGCATCAGCTTCCAGCACGCTAGAGACAAAAGCTTCTTGAAAGAAAAATGCTGAAGCAAGAGCTGTAGAACACATTCAATAAATGTAAAACCCTCTCTCAGCAGCGTAAGTGGGCAGAAAACAAGTGGTGCTACAAACCTGTGGCACATAGGGTGGACTGTGCAGCCTCCACCTGTGGCCTCGGTTGTATTTGACCTTCAGCCACAGTGTAGATGGATGCACTACAGCTGCCTGGGCCAGCTGTGTTACTCAGCTGGTGAGATCCCGGGGTGCGTGGGGTCCTAAGCTGGAGAGTACAGACAGAGGAACGGTTCTGCAGGAGGCAGGCTGGGGCAGCGCCTTCAATTTGGGTGCTGATGAGCCATACCCAGGGCAGGGGAAGCTTTGTGGCTCTGTACAAGCCTGTAGCCCTGGGCTTCATCAGGGGAGACAGTTTTTCCCCTCCACTCTGCTCTTGTGAGACCCTACCTGGAGTACTGCATCCAGCTCTGGGATCCCCAGTACAAGAAAGACATGGACCTGTTGGGACAGGTCCAGAGGAGGGCCATGACAATGGCCAGAGGTCTGGAGCACCTCTGCTATGACGGACGGCTGAGAGAGTTGGAGTTGTTCAGCCTGGAGAAGAGAGGGCTCCAGGGAGACCTCATTGTAGCCTTTCAATAAATAGAGGGGGCTTATAAGAAAGACAGAAAGACGCTTTTTACCAGGGCCAGTACTGACGGGACAAGGGTGATGGCTTTAAACTGAAAGAGGGCAGATTTAGATTAGATGTGAGGAAGAAATTCTTCACTCTGAGGGTGGTGAGGCACTGGAACAGGTTGCCCAGAGAAGTCACGGATGCCTCATCCCTGGAAGTGTTCAAGGCCAGGTTGGATGGGGCTTTGAGCAACCTCACTGAGTGGAAGATATCCCTGCCCATGGCAGGGGGATTGGAACTAGGTGATCTTTAAAAGGTCTCTTCCAACACAAACTATCCCATGATTCTTTTTATTTACATTTGTAGTGTGGGAGGTCTTATGTTTCTTCTGTTACAGAATGTGGTAAAGGATGCTTTACTGAATGCATGGGGAAGGTCTGAAGACAGTAGGGTTACAGGAGTTGGAGTCCTGTATTTTTTTATTGTTTTCTATATTTATCTGAACATCTCCACAGGCCACAGACTAGAGGCATGTTTATTTTACATCTGCTTTTACATGCCAAGCCTGGATCTGGATTTTGCTAATGTTGCCTCTCTCTAAGGAAAACCATCTGTGTTCAGCCTTGGCCAGAGTCTGTCAAGGCGCTTCACTCGAGGGATGCTAAGAAGAACCGGATAGCCTGGTCTATCCCTCAGGTTCCTGTGACAGGCTGGGTTTCTACTGAACTGTTGCTGTTATTTGTGGATCATCTAAATGTATTAATTAATACCTATGTCCTGTCTGGAGATCTCCTAGGGACATCATCTCTTGGAGGGGCAGGTGGTCCTTGGTAGTGCTGGGGTGGATGGGTGGCTGCCTGGCTGTTTCTGCCAACATGCTGATAGTAGGGCCATGATGATGTTGCTGCCCCTATTATCACTGTCTTCACCATTCTCCTTGTTCAGACCTTTAGAGGGAACCTCCTCATCCCTCTCTCTTCACACTAACTGATCCCCTAAACTGGTGCCCTCCAC